TTGTTGGTTGGTTTTCATCTGAAGGGCACATAGCTCAAGGCTTCGCTCAAGATGGTGAAAAATCTTTCAAGGACCTTCGAATCTGGGCCATGACGCACCAATTTTTTGCCCTCTGTGGTACGTTTTTGGCATTCGTTCCACCGCGAAAACAGAAAAGCGTCGCGAAAACACGCTCCACTTTAAGTTTCCCGAATCTTACGATCGCTATTCTTTAACGAATCTGTCTGATATTGCGCACAACATGGAAAGAGTCCTTAATTTCAAGTGTAAATGTTACGATATTTAGTGTACGGTTGGCGATTATAATTAAAATATGAATTTCAATTGAACGTTTCGATTTTGTGAGATTTCAAAAGATCACAGTTACAGATACGAGGTAAAAAATTAAATAATAAAAGTAGTAAATTTTATAAACACTGATAGAAAGATTTCAGTTTAACAAATTGGGCTGACGAAGGCAAAAGTTATTTCCATATTGGAGGTAGAAAATATTTTAATTATTACTGATTGAAACAGAATGGATCAGGTATCTTTATGCGAAAAATAGTCGTTTATTTGGAAAATTAATTCATAATAATGTATAACAAAATTTTGGATGATATTAAGTAAGCTTTATTTGGAAAATTAATATTTGAATGCCTCGTAATGCGAATAGTGGCACGGATTGAACTCGTAACCAACAAGTTATTTATAAGCAGGATAAGAGCAGGCCACGCTAAACTAATGCACGGGCATATTTTGAATGACAGCCTTTCAATCATACGCGACGTTTGCGACTCAAGCCTATCAATGAACCATATCATCACCGAATGCCAGAAATACGCCAAAAAAAGAAGGCAACATTACCGTGGTCGTAGTGGATAAATAAATGACATCACCTTTTACGTTTAACTGTAATCATGACTACTTTAAAATGAAATAAAAAACTGGAATGTGTTCTATGTTACTTCTGTTTTAGTAATAAATCTGAATCCTAAAGCCTCTTTTGGAAAATCTTTTATAATTCAATTTGATGAAAATATCAACATTCTTGATGATACATATGAACCATACCAAACCATCCAATATATATTGGATTATTTATATATACAATATTAATATTCGTATAATCACTAATGATTGCCAAACGAATATTTGCGAAAACTTCTACACAGCTAAAATTTTGTGTCCCAGCACCTACTTATTTTTGCCACAATCACAAATTCGGGAATCCAATTCAGATTTATTTTCGTTCACGTCACACCCAAGGAATTAATTTCATTACTTTCTTAGTAAAGAATCTAATTATTCAAATATGGGTTAGGTCAACCTGTTCGAAATGAAATAAAATGATAAAGTATTTACGAAATGGAACAGAATTGAGTCAATAATAAATTTAGAATTCAGAAAGCAACGAATGGAGCATTATTATTGCCAATATAAATGTGTCCATAACACGCCGGCAATAAATTCTAGGAGTATGGTGTAAATTAGGAGGACAGTTCCTGCATTACGAATATTGATTTTTAGTGCACGAAGCTAGCGGCTTTTACACAGTCCAATCATTATTAGCACAAAATTCAAGTACGACGATGAATGTGTCACGGAGTACTTCCGTAAGAGTGTTTCCAGAGGTACTTCCACAACGCTATGAACGACATATTCCTCCAGTTTGCGTATTCTTACCGAGACTTTCTGCAAAGTTGCAGACGAGAGTTTGCATTTATATCCTCTCGGCGGCGATGTTCAGAGCTTTTAGCCGGAGGCAGTTCTTCCTACGTCACCGATATAGGCTTGAGAGAAGTGTTTCTGTTCGGAGGGGGTGAATCGTAAAAAACACGGGAACCAAGGTGAACTACGAGGACGTTAATAGACAAAAGAGGGATTTTCGAGAAAAAATTTCGAGCGAAGCTGTGCAACCAGAGACAACAGGGAACGTTTGCGTCTCTTAAATCTCACGATAAGCGTGGAGTGCTTACAGTGTAGCTGTATGCGAGTGTAAAACGTAAGGATAATTCGAAATGAATGAAAATAAGAAGGAGAAGACGTAAAGGAGGAATTTACATATGTTTATAAGATTTAGAAAAGAAACATAATAAATGGAAAATGGGAATAATAATATAAGGATAATCCCAATTTCATGTTCTATTTCAAGAGAAATTTAAATCATGTTCATTTTATATAATGGGTAATAAAAATAAATACAAACGAAATAAATGGAAATAATAGTATGTGAAATCTATGTAATATTAATGTAGTATAATGTAGTATAATGTGAACACTTTGCTCGAAACGTGCCTTATTTCTTGAATATACTCGTACAGTAAGAATTCCAAGAATAAGACATGAAGCTCTGTCTAGAACGTTTTAGCTACTTTCGTGCACTTCGAAACAGCAATTTGTTCAAGATCACGTGCTACTTGTCCCAATTTCGTATGCATAGATAATCTAGATGATTGATTAGATACGGCGTTTCTATTCAATGGTGCTTCTAAGCTAGCACATGTACGTACTAAGAAACTATTTCTGAACACAGGTGCTATAGAAGACTTGTATTTGAGTACCGTCTTCGTATCAGATTCTCGACTGTTTTAAATTACATTTCTATTCGCCAAATTGTGGTTGCTAGCTACTTGGAATTTAGATATTTATTCGATTTTTTTCATATCAATCCACCTATTAAAATAATTTTATATGTGTTAATAATCATATATATTTAGATATTTATAACAAGATATTTGTGCTGTTATCCCTGTTGAAAAGATAAATTAACAAATTTCTAATTACTTTAAATATAGTACAAATTGTTATTTAAACCAACTAGGAAGTTGTCAATTTATCTAATCAATTGTACATGATATTGTGTGCTATTAATTATTATTACTGTTGTTGTTGGAAACATGTATTGACATATATTAATTTTCTTATTATATTTTATATAACGCGAGTTACTTATTCAATTTTTTTTTAAACCTTCTAATATATAAATATACACAAATTGACCATTATATTGTTAGTTATTATCACGTAATATTAAGTAACAAAAGGTGAATCGTTACCAAAGATTTCTCGGATTACGGATGTTCGTTTTGGTATTTTATACCATTTATGCATACAAACTCCATCAAACTTATAATTGTCACGGGTATACAGTAATCAAACAATTTAGCAAAACTCATAAGTATTATAGGTAAAGTTTTAATAGGATGAAATATAAATTTCCGTCCTGTTTCGCATTCGCCTTGTTACCGCTTCCTGTTCTTTTCATTAAATCTCTGATTGAGCCATGTACACAAACGTTCCAACATTATTCAACACGTGTTGTTTACTGAAATAACTTTTCTCGATTGTATATGCTCCAATATTTTTTCTATTTTAATTGTACTGTGACAAAGTTATCAAAAGATAAGTGTAATAAAATGTTCGTGCACGTCCTTAAGCATTCAGCAATTTAGGAATGGAATTCTGTAGATATGTATAAATATATATTTTGTTCGTGATATATAGATATCTGACTCTATTTCTATTCAATTTAATATTCCGTTCAGTTTTGCGTATCGAATTAAATCCCTGGGGCCCCTTATTCATTTTTATTTTATATATAAGTACATGAATCCACAAAATATAATAAAAAAACATGACAGAAAAAAAGGTATACATATTTTCTAATATTTATGTACTTTTACTTGAAGAGTACAATATTTTACAATAAATTGTACTCATTCTCTAAGAAATAGGTAAGTAAAAGTAAACTAAAAGATAAACAACTGTTCACATATGAATCGTTAAAAATTAATTTGAATTTAAATTATACAATGAATATGTTACAGTGGTTTTTAATTACAAAATGCAATCTAGAGGACGTAAACGATTCGTGGCTTCACGAATACGCGTTAAAAGTGGATAAGGAGCCCGGGGATTCAATTTTAAGTGAAATTACGAGGCCAAGTAGCGTTCTGCCAGAGATTTTAATTCTCGCCAACAGAATCGCTCAGAGCATTGATACAGAGTTCTAACTGTCAAGAGAGCGAGCTACAGCGAAGTCAAGCTTCAGCATAACTTGTTGGAGGTACAATGACTGTATGCCTCTCAGCGTCAGCACGAGCATGAATGCCTGGCAGAGAGATACCTTTCCAGCTTTTAGAAACGACAACTCGTGACAAACGTCTTTATATCTTCGAACAGCTTTAGAATTGTCGCGCGACTTTTTAGCAGCTTTCTACTCGCATAACAAGTTTTGATATATGAATTCAGGCGCGTCCACCTTGGCACGCACGACCGTAAATCTTTCCCTGTTATTGTTTTTGCGCAAATTATAATTTATCATGTGTTTCGAACTCTGAACGCGTTAGGTGACGATGATAAACGGCGTCGAGAACAATTGGGACGGGAGGCTCTGATATTATCATTCAACTTATGAATGAAACATGTTTAGTTGGCTCTTGGTGGACTGATGTCTATGGCGGAAACGTGCTTTTTGTCGTTTGAACAATAAACTTTTTTTTGTTTTAATACAATTATTCATAGACACGTTTGCGTATACGTAAATCAGCAAATGATAAATTTACAACGTGAATCGAGATATCGTTTGTTTAAAAATTAATTTTGGAATTTGAAATACTACCTGTTTGTTATTATTCTCATTTTCCTAATCAAATAATTAGGTATGTATTAGCTGTTTATTATAACTTTTATTTCAAAAGGATCGTATGTATGTGTTAAAGGATATATGATCCAATATAAGATAGAGAAGTTGAACTCTCTTTTATATTAAGCTTTTTTCCCCGTTCAGATTACATTATCGACAGCTGTAATATTGGTTTAGGCAGAAATGTAAAAGAGTAAAGCATCAACCCTTCAAATAACATTTATTAAGATTTTTACTTGTTCCATAATTCTTTAACGTTCACCTTTCGTATGAACGTACTTATTTATGTCATGAAAGTGTAACGTTTGAAGAAAATTCGTTTTCTAGAAACTTGACTAGTTTTCTGAAGATTTATAGCAGAGAAACGACTCACCGGCAACCCTTGCGTCCTTGCATGCCTCGTACATGTCCTGTTTGATCTCTGGATTGTCATCTGCGATGGTTTCGCCAACGGTGACGAACCTCTCGACCGCCAGATTCACGGCTTGCCCGACTCTGGCTACTGCACGGAGACTTCTGTCCGAACATAGCGGACGTTCTCTGTGCGACACCAACGTAGAGATCTGGAAAATTAAAGAAAAACAAATTGTAGGACAAGTTCGAAGTAACATTGCGCCACTACTTTAATTTTGATTTCGATGATTTACACTAATAGAGACAACAAAGAATTTCATTGTTAATGACAAAGCTCGCAACGCGTTAAATTCTATGAACCACAAAAATAACATACAATAATAACATCTCTCACTGTATCAAATTTAACAAGATTTATGTCTACTACTTTGTATTCTAAGTAAATTATTATACCATAAAAAAGATGAAAAAGAATTTTCAATTTTAGGCCTAAAATATCAGTTTGAACACAGCCGATTTTATTTCACGTAAAGCATGAAAGTGTTTACGAGAATGGTGAACTTTACATAAATATTCCTGGAATTGTACGAGCAGATCTACATTGTAAAAATGTATGTTCCATAGACATGCAGTAACGAGAAGTAAATTAGGGTATGTATACGCCTGGCACAACGCCAAGTTGATATTCTAGCCGTGAATAAATTAGCTATTTAAAATGTATTCATTCGTGCAGATTAACTCCCGTAAATTGCTCGACTTTCCACGAACATAATGAATAGATACGATACATCACACACGAGCGCCGATATACAGTAGGTCTCGCAATTAATGTAACGTTTGTAAGCGTCGAGAAAATCGAGGAATACGTAATAATTTCACCTGATTGTTTATTTAAACATTTTCGTATTCTGTATTCTCTCTGAATAATCGTTTCGTTTATAAAACAATGATCTGGAATAACAGCGAGGAGTTGCATTACACCTGAGATAAGATTTAAAAAACAGACAAATTAAATCAGAATTGCTCGAGCACAAACTATAACGTAAATGTATCTTTGTGCTTAAGATGATGTATTGAAATCACATAAATTAAATCAGAGTTGACCGAGAACAAATTAAGAAAACAATTATAGTGCAAATGGTTAAACTGGTATTAAAAAAGAAAAACCTAAAGTCTCTATTCTAAAGATCTTTATTAGAACAATAAATGCATGGAGAGTATAGTCTTACAAGTGGAAAGATTTTTCATTTCTTCATTCCAGCTACAAATATTCGTTATCTCGCCGTCTTAGTTATTCAAGCTCAAAGCTTGAAGAATTCCCGGCCAGCCGCGCGACTAACGAGAAACATGGACGTCTAAATATCACCAATCGTGAAAAAAGCTTGCGAAAATGATACAGAGTAGACGGAGAAGCAGAGCTCGTTATTACCCGAGTTCAAACCAGCTCTAATTAATGCTCCATCACGGCGTCGCCGTGAAAACCAACCGTGACTGATGCACACGCGAAGCTTTCCTCCGCTCGCAATGGAAAGCGCCTACGCTCGGATTGTTTTGTCTGTCGGCTAACGACCAGACGGAGAGACGGATCCTCCCTCCGACTCCTGCATCCCTCTCCATGTAAATGCCAAACGTGTATTCAAGAAAGCTGCACGAGAGTAACCCCGTTACTTGGCCTGTAGCTGCAGGGTCCGCGAGGGCCGCGTCTATACACCTCATTTTCCACACAATCGGACAATGCATTTAGCCGCCGTCCCCTCTTAAACTGTTCCACGAGGGCTGCCAGACAGCCGAGGGCAGACAGACAGACGCGAAGAAAAACGAGAAAGAGAGTTTCTGGGTGAAGGAAAACGGAAGCAGAAGCAGGTTGGTGGAACGAAGAAATAACGTGGGCGGGTGGGGGGGGGGGAGCGAAGGAAAAGATGTAAAGTAGATCTATATGTACTTAGAGGCGCAGAAACTGTATGCAAATATAGGTGCATGAACGTATAAATGGATCGATGTGTGGGCGTATGAATATGTAGACGTATAAATGTGTATGAAGAGGGACGAAGCATGGAGATTTCGGAAGGAGGGATGAGAAGTGGGCCAGGGCGATAATCGGGGATGGCGAGAGAGGTGAGCTGACGTGAACGGGTCTCGCTGCTATTTGGGGTTGATATTCTTTTAGGCTATCGATGAACTTGGTAACGAAATTGGAAGATCGAGGGATGGGGAAAGAGCAAAGTGAATGGAAAATGTAAAGGAGCTTTGCAGGATGCCCCTAAAGTCTAAATGCACAGGAACGATCAGTAATTATATTTATTTTTCCTCCATACGTTACTTTAGGCAAAATTATACACGCTGTCACAATTTATAAATTAAATAAAAATGTGTGCGGACCAATAATAATACCCGTTTATATATTATCATTTATATCCGTTCTAGTCACAAATTAACATCAATTGCTTTCAGGAATCTCTATATAAAAATTAGACTGTGGATGTTTATGAGCGTATTTTCAGTGATACAGCAAAAGAATTGAAACTACAATGAATTATCGTCTTACCTTCTAAACGATATAACACGTAGATTATTGTTGATATTTTATATAATCTCGCATTAGTACATATTTTTATAGATTTAAATGCATATAAATCCACAATCTAGTAATATATAATACTTTCTCATAATATAGCGACGATCGCGCTACTTGATTTAGACTATTGCCCTACTCAAGCACGCATGTTACCCAGCAGTGTTGTACAGCATCAGGGTAGAAAACCCGTCGCCAGTTATAGCTAGGCGCTTTTGCAACCACTCTGCGTCCTCAACTGTAAATTAGAGTCGTACTTGAACGGATAAACGAGCACTTAAGCTTTAATGTTAAATTTCTCGAGAAGATTGACTTTGTCCCTTCAAAACCATATAACATTACCTCCTCGTTTCAAGCACTCCTACTGCACAGAAGCTGGTCGAAAGGTTAGAGTTTCAATTAGGAATTCTCTTTGTCAGACGAACGCCTACAATGTCTTGCTTGCGCTTTCGTTCCTAGAAATCCGTGTTCCGTTACTTGGCATTTCGTGCTTACTGTCAATTATCGCCAGCCTTTGAAGTGCGTCGTAATCCGTGTGCTTACAAGAATTTTCAGATATCCTTTTACTTCTGTTTTGTGTACCGCAGACTGTTAACCCATTAACACGTCGTTGCGAAGAAAGTAAACAGACCTCGTTGCTACGAGTTTACTGTTGGGTTTCATTGACTGCGTACTTGAGATATGTTTACTTCCTAAGACGTTGTTAGTCTCCTTGGCGACCAAAGTACGTTAAATACAAATTTTTTAAATATTCGAAGAAGACGTAGGTAGTTTATATCTCTCAACGAATGGGGCTAAGAGGAATCGATAAGAAGAAGAAATCAACCTCTTCATTTTCCAAGATATACATGTTTCAAGAATATGCACATTTTATGAAGAAATTTTTAATATTGACGGAGTTCGTAAATGAAAAAGATTATGCATTAAATTGACACGAATAAGGTAATTTTAGTCTAAAGTTTTTAATTATAGGACCCCTGTTATTGGTAATAAATCGAATCAAGTTTTCCCTGATATTAAATTTCCAAACACAACACAGGTGACATAGAATATTTATACAAATTTTGTAACTAAACAAAAATTCCCCCTTAGAAAAACCCTTTATTTTCTTCTTCTTTCCTTTTCAAATCAACTCTAAGATTTAAATCTCTTTTCTTTTCTTTTCTTTCCTCATTAATTCAGATAAACCAACCACTGTCGACCCTAAAGCACCGATTCCGCCACAAAGCACGCTCCCATAAAGAATATCTATCTCCTGAATTCAAAATTCCTGAACAAATTCCTGACAAAAATTCTTGAACCTCAGCATTTCGGACCATTACCGAGTCTTCCCTCCATAACAAACGAAACGTACAAAGGGCGGCGTCGTAACGGCAAAGACGCCGACGCGAGGAAGAATGAGAAGCTCGGAACCAACAGCATCCATATGCCATGCAAGAAATCAGAAGCAACGAGGGGCTTCAGGGGAGGTAGCAGAGGAAGAAATAGGAGAGTAATTGACAGAGAGAAACGAGGGGGAGGGAATATCGGAAAAGGGACGGACATGGAGGTATTGTTTTGCGACGTGAATGCGTACAATCGAATGAACACACACAAACATAGACGTCCACGAGCACAGACGCGACCCTTTACTCTACGGTTGGCTCACGGTTCGCGGGTCTGCGTTCCAACGATTGTCAAATGTCGCGGATCCAGACAAGAGCAACGGAGTTACGTGACGCCGGGACGCGAGCGTGGGGGTTCGTTTTCTCTTCAGCCGGAGCATTGTCGCCATCACAGTTTTCGTTTTAGGCAGGACTTATCCCCCATCTGTCACGTTTCACCGCGAGCACGCGGAAAATTTTAATATCTCCGAGACGAGGAACGGGGTCAGTTGAGGTTCACGCGTTTTCCACTCGTTATCGTTTACTTTTTCACGCGGTAGGTGAACCAAGGCTGATGTTTGCACGCAATCGCTGAGCAAACGCGGCGCACGGTGGCTTTAAATTACGAGGACTCGCTTTGCAATCATTTCTTTATTTGCTTGGTGTGTTCTATTCTGTTAGATAACAGCCTAAATATTTGTTAGATTAATTATTAAATATTTTACAGCAGATGTTCTCACTCTGAGATACAACAAGAAAAGTCCAATATGAGTCTTCGTATTAAACGAATTATTAACTTTAAATACTAACAATTACATAATATATTAATTAAAGAGTAACTATATTGTACGACCTAACTCAAAATAATTTATTCTTCAATTTAAGCATAGATCTTATTAATAGTAAATGAGAATTCATGTGGAATTAAAGCAATTTGCGAGGTATTCGAAGCTCCATTCTGACACTTCATGGTCGACATAGAATGTAGAATATTGCATCCTTCAAATATCCGAGGTGCAGCGTATAAATTCATAAAATGGTAAACTGCGATAGATCAAGATTTGGAACGCGTGGTTTAATACCGCCCTAATACTTGTGTTTTCGTATTCCATGAGAATTCCCATGCCTTAAAATTCCTGAAACGTTTCCACCAAATGGATGGCATGTCGGCAGTTGGTTAAACCGATATCGACATTTCCGTTCCTTTCGAAATAGGAAACTCATGATGTGCATTTGGAAGTAGCGATTCCCATGAATCGTTATATGAATATCG